GGACGCGAGCCAACCTCCGTATTACCAGAGACCTAATTCGTACAGCAAGATCGGGATTATTCCGCTACAGCGGCGCATCGACACGTTCGCGACACCGTATATTCCGCATCTGTGATCTCGGGCGAGCAGGACTCATTCGTTAACCGAGGCAACTGAAGCCAAAGCAGGTTTCGCTCCAGCACCCTTATAGAAATATCATACTAAGAATCATTGATAATTACTTATTATCCAGTATTTTTAATACTGAAAATAAGTAATTATCAATGATTCTTAGTATGATATTTCTATAAGGGCAGACGGACTGCTCACGCAGTCTTTGCCTGTATCTACCGCATCAACGATTGCCAGAGCAATCGTTGTCTACGAGGCATCACCATCGTGGCAAATGGCCACTTGCAGCTACGCTGCAAGTTTGTCTATACTGCTGTTACGTCCCGTAGGGCCTCACGTATCTTTACATTGCGCAAAGACCGATTACTTATCCGACCGCATTACAAAAGTTAAGTACACAAAAGGAGCACGTAGATCTCGAGCCTTACGAAAGAATCATGAATCATACCACCTACAATTACGCATGTCCATATATGACCTGATCGAACATTTCTATTTTTTTCCCATCAACCCGAGCCTCATCTTTGTTACTAAGCAAGACATCTCCAACGAATCCGGTAACCGCCATCCCCCAAATTTCGCATTTTCCGAAACTATAAAAAGTCCGATCCGTGTGACTTCGATGTCTTATTGTCATTACGACGTCCACGAGTATCACTTCTGTAATCTTCGCTTTTTATCATTACGATATTTACGAATATCACTTCTAAGTTCATTGTCATTTATGACGTCTATCACCACGAGTATCATTTCCGTGATTATTACCTCGACGAGTATCATCTCGAGAATTAGAATCGTTACTTCCATTCACATCGTAGGCAATTCCAACCACATCTGCCTTAACCATTTGGAAAACCATTATTATCCGACAGGAAGGAAGCAACAGTTTCAGCAGATCCAAAGGGACCTATTTTTCTGCTCATACAATAATAGTGAGTCATTGTTTTATTATCCGATTTTCTCAATTTCAAATAAGTCCGGACAGACGTATTTTCACCTTGTCGAAATCGCAATAATTCCGGTGAATATTAATTATCGTCAGAATTTCTAAAATCGGTTTGTCCCCCCCCCCCCCCC